AAAAAAATCCAGACCCCAAAGAAATTTTTTTTTTTTTTTTTAATTTCTAGTGCCAAAAAAATCTGAATCTGCTGATGTGGAAGAATCCAAAATTGGAAATGAAGAGAGTGATTTAGAAGAATCCTGTGTGGTATCTCACAGTCCTGTACCTATAGATAAAAGGCCTATACCAATCAAATCACCCAAGGTAGGAAATCAGATTATCCTTGTGAATAAACATAACAAGAGGAAAAAATACGAGCTAAAGCATTATTGCTATAACTTGATATTTAATATTTAAAAATGGTATTTGGGGTATATAATTAAGTATGGCACATTGTTTTAGTGAAACCTGGAATAATTCTTAAAAATAAGCTTGTGTACTGCATATTTAGAATATGTAATGATACCTTCTCTAATTTTCAGATTATTGATAATCTTAGAAGTGTTCAGGTAAAGCTTCATTTTAATATACAAGGTTGTGATGGGTTACTTCCTCTTTTTTGAATATTAATGCATTTGAAATTTTATGTAGCAAAACAAGATGATAAGTTATGAATAATACTAAGCTCTTTCCTGGCTTTGAAGAAGTTTCCTTGCCCCCAAAAAACCCCGGTATTTTAAAGTTGGAGATGGTTTTAAATGAAATAACTTACAATTTCAGTAATTTCAAATTAAATTGTTTAAAATGTTTTAACATGCTATCTTCCTGTTTTGCAGGATAAGTGGCAGCCACTTTTGAGTACAGTTACAGGTGTCCACAAGTATAAATGGCTGAAGCAAAATGTCCAAGGCCTATATCCGCAGTCTGCCCTCCTTAACACCATTGTTGAATTTGCACTTAAAGAAGAGCCAGTGGATGTAGAAAAAATGAGAAAGTGTTTATTAAAACAGGTAAAATGGTTGAAAATGGGCTTGCATGTGTTAGCGGTTTACATAAGTATGACAATTTATTTTTCTCTTTTGCAGTTGGAAAGAGCTGAAGTTCGTCTGGAGGGAATAGATACCATTCTGAAATTGGCAGCAAAAAATTTTTTGCTCCCATCTGTGCAGTATGCTATGTTCTGTGGATGGCAGAGGCTGATTCCAGAAGGAGCCAATATAGGGTAAAACTTTTTGTTGCTTTTGCTTTCACAATTCTTCAGTAAGAAAAAAAGTACTTACTTTTGTCATTATTGTTTTTTTTTTGTGAAGGGAACCTCTTACCGACTGCTTGAAGGATGTTGATCTGATCCCACCGTTTAACAGAATGCTGCTAGAAGTAACTTTTGGAAAGTTGTATGCATGGGCTATTCAGAATGTCCGGAACATCTTACTAGATGCTAATGCAAAGTTTAAAGAACTAGGTGAATCTCATTTTGTTGCTGTTGGCGGGGGAGAAAACTGTTTTAAATGAAAGTTTCTGCTTTTTTTTTTTTTTTTCAAGTTCCCTATAATTGGAATCCTAAGATCAGTTCCCTTGGTTTGTGCTGAGAATTACTTTGACTTTCTGTCTGTCCATGTGTTGTTCCACAGCCCCCCTGCCCCCACTGCTGATTCCACTTAACTCACTTTTCAGTGTTTTAAAAGAATGTTGTGGATTTCCCAGCAACAGGTGATTCATTACTTATTAGTAACATTTCACCATTAAAATCTAAATTATAAAAAGTTTCTTGGAACTTCAGCTTGTAAATTCTTAAAGCCAAGCAGGGAATAAAAAAATATTTATCAGTCAAACAAATCTATAACCTATTTTATTGTAGCTCCCAAATGTCAGCTGACTTTGCTATTTATGTTACTTTTGAATTAGGTGTGCAGCCTGTTCCTCTACAAACAATTACTAATGAGAATCCAGCAGGACCAAGTCTTGGAACTATTCCACAAGCACGTTTTCTGCTGGTCATGCTCAACATGTTGACGTTGCAGCACGGTGCTAATACCTTGAGCCTCCTACTTAATTCTGGCATGCTAGCATTGACGCAAACAACGCTGCGGCTGATAGGTACAAGACCTTCTTGTTTCTTGTTTGGAAGAAAGCACGTGTTTCATAAATCTCCTGAATTTTTTACCTGTTGGTGTACACAAACTACAAAATGACTTTGCTGCTTAAAGATAGTACTTAATGCTATTTACCTTTACACTGGTACAAACCCCACATCTGTAAGGACAGTTGAGAAGGAAGTTAGTTTGACTGTGGCCTTTATTCAGTCATTTTTTTTTTCCCAAGCCCTTGCTTTGACTATCCTTTGCTAGAATTTAGGAGTGGTAGCGTAGTTTTGGTGGAAACACTACAAAGAAATTAAAAATTGAGAATTTAAAAGAAAACCTTAAACACTGACTGCTGCCGAGTCATTCAGTTTCATTTGTTCTACGTATTAAAACTGTTCTTAGTCTGCATGTTTAAGCTGGAAGCTTCCTTTGGTTGTTCTGTTATAAGGAGTTCTGTGGTGGTGTTTTCACAGAATGTTAAGGGTTGGAAGGGACCTCAAAAGACCATCTAGTCCAACCCCCCTGCCAGAGCAGAACCACTTAGAGTAGATCACACAGGATCACGCCCAGGCAGGTTTTGAATGTCTCCAGAGAAGGAGACTCCACAACCTCCCTGGGCAGCCTGTTCCAGTGCTCTGTCACCCTCACAGTGAAAAAGTTTTTCCCTCTGTTAATGTGGAACCTCTTATGCTCCAGCTTGCACCTGTTGCCCCTTGTCCTGTCATCGGCCATCACCGAGAAGAGCCCAGCTTCATCCTCTGACACTCGCCCTTTTTGTGTTTATAAGCATTGATGAATGAGGTCACCCCTCAGTCTCCTCTTCTCCAAGCTAAAGAGACCCAGCTCCCTCAGCCTTTCATCATAAGGGAGATGTTCCACCCCCTTAATCGCCTTTGTGGCTCTGCGCTGGACTCTTTCAAGGAGTTCCCTGTCCTTCTTGAACTGAGGGGCCCAGAACTGGACACAATATTCCAGATGCAGTCTCACACAATATTCCAGATGCAGTCTCTTTTTCCCATGATTCAAGTTCTCCTGCTTTTTCTTTCTTGGTTTTCTTAGATAACAGTAAATATTTGTCCTCGTGGCTCGTACTTAACTGGAGTACTTAGAAGTTTTTAAAAAAAAATCTGTTAGTGGAACCATTTAGCCACTGGACTTGTCATTATAATGTCTCTATTATTTGTCAATTATTTTCCTTCAAAAGTAAGTATTTAAAGTCCTGTGCATTTGAAACCATTATATCGTAGTTCCCAAAAAGCTCATTTGACTGTATAGCCTGTTGAGTCAGCTTTCCTATTTGTTACTGCTTTTATGTTGCAAATCTTATGTGCCTTAAAGTTTAAATGTGACAAAGCTTATGTATAAAAACTTGTAGCTGCTTTTAAATTTTTTTTTTCGTATATTTTCCTCTTTAGGACCTAGTTCTGATAACATTGAAGAAGATATGATTACCTCTTCTCATGGAGCTTCTGCCACAGTCCTAGAAGAGTCAAGAAAGGAAACTACACCTGTTCAGCTCCCTGTTTCTGGACCAGAGCTGGCAGCCATGATGAAAATTGGTACCAGAGTGGTGAGAGGGGTAGACTGGAAATGGGGTGATCAGGTACAACTTATTTCATACAGGTTTGGGTCTGCTACAATCTGATGTTTCTATTCAGTGGACTGTCTGTGAATTTTATGTTCAAACTTTAAAGGTCATTTTATGTTTCAAAGACTTGGAGAATTAACACAAAATATATTAATTATTTGTTTAACTTAATTTTTGGAGATGAAAATTATTTTTTAGTGAGACTGTTCTGATTCACGATTTAACAGGAAATTGGATCGCTTGTTTGCTACTATACACTTCCAAGTAGGTGTGTATGGCACTTATGTAGTACATAGTAAAACAGATCTAAATATGAGAGGTGCAGCAGTTTACTGGGGTGATTTCTTTTGAAGATTGTGAAATGCTTTCCAACTTTAAGCTAGATTTTGAAACATTATTGAGTGTTTACTGCCTTACCATTAGGTTAGCAACAAAAAAGAGCAATTGCATTAGTGTTTTATGAACTTTGGATACAAATTAGCATTGTTGATCGTGTAACTTGAGCCTGTCTTTTGTCAGGATGGACCCGCTCCTGGTTTGGGTCGTGTGATTGGAGAACTGGGAGAAGATGGCTGGATTAGAGTGCAGTGGGACACCGGAAGTACAAATTCTTACAGAATGGGGAAGGAGGGAAAATATGATCTCAAACTAGCTGAGCCACCGCCAGCAACACAGCCCACAACAGAGGATTCAGACACTGAGGATGACTCTGGTAAAAAAGCAACTTTTTTGTAAAAGTGGAGGCAGAGTTTTAGTTGAATTCCCAAATCCATATCTTATAATATGAAAAAGCTGCTTTTGCAGGAGAAAGTGCTTCATCAAAGAAGTTTAATAGGTATATGTTTCTGATCAGATCTTTCTTAAGATAGCTTTACTGTGAGAAAGGAGGATAGAAAGGGTGGTAGCACATTTATTGCATATTCATGGACCAAAGAAAACAGTATTATCCAACTGAAATGGTTTCAGTTACAGATACCAAGAGGTATACATTTTAACGTATGTTAATGCCATTCTGAAGTGTGTTTTTTATATGGCCTAATTATACATCTAGTCATAATGCTTCCCTATTCTTGGCACTGCATTTGGAATTTCCTTTAAGTTGCGTAGTGCTAGAGAATAACTTGAAAACATCCGCACAAAATACCTGGTTTCTGTTCTGCTCTTGCAGTTGAAAATAAGGAATCTTGTTCATGTCAAATCATGTTCGAGAAAATATTTCTCGCGTTGTGTTTGTTTCAGAACTCTTTGTGAAATAGATTAACTCAATATTAATGTATTCCTTTGCTTTTTGTTTCTCCCTCCAGAAGGAGAACAAGTTGAAAGGAATCTCCACCCTACATCCATGATGCTGATAAGTACCGTGAACCTGTTGCAGACGCTGTGTCTCTCGGCTGGTGTCCATGCTGAAGTCATGCAAAGTGATGCTACTAGGACTTTGTGTGGTCTACTCCGTATGCTTGTGGAGAGTGGAACAATAGATAAATCAGGTATAATATACAGAAACAGTCTGATTCAGCTGTGTGCTTCTGTTTTGTGCTTTCTTGTCTTGTAACTTTGTAAATCTTTTCTTACTGGTTTTTAAACCTGTAAGTCCAAAGGCTAGAAAATTTTCAGAGCTTTTAACATCTTAATTGTTAGCAAAGGCAATGTGATTTTGAGCATTCTTAGAACATAAGCAGTAAAAGCAGGAGAAATGCATGAGATGTGGAGTATCAGGATGTGTATGGTTGGCTTGGACAATGAATTTCTTAGCAGTTTTTTTTTCTGTTTGGGGACAACAATATGACTGGGTATGTCATGTTTGTTTCCATAGCTTCTTTGCAATTTCGGAAGTAATGCTGTTAACTACTTTGAAATGAGGAAACAGTGTAAGGATGAGAATTGTTTTAAAGGCGTATTTAATAAAATTAATGACAGGCTCTTAAAACTGAAGTTAATAGTTCATGTAGAGACAGTGGAGTAGCTCAGTTTTACAGTTTGTCAAAAAAAGCCCCATGCAGTGTATAGAGAATTAAGTGACTGGCAGAAAAGTCAACTGTTATATGTATATATCTTTTTGTTTTTAGCTTCCTTGCCAAATAAATTAGTTTATAAAGAACAGCATAGGAGTTGGTGCACGTTGGGATTCATTCGAAGTATAGCACTCATGCCTCAGATGTGCAGCACTCTTAGTACATCTCAGTGGATAACTTTGCTAATGAAAATTGTTGAGGGGCATGAATCTTTCACTGCTGCTTCACTACAGAGACAGGTAATGTGTGTATTTCCAAATTACTTTGATAGGCAATGAATTTAGTAGACTTCAGTTGTCTTTAAAAAAAAAAAAGTCTATTTTAAAAAACAGATATGAAATGTTGTTAAATAAGTTTTTAATTAATTGGAAAAAAGATAACATGCCTTCTTATGTTCAGGATTCATTGTTTTAAACATAAATCTGTAAGTTTTTGAGCCTTCAGGGCACTACAGACTCCCTTGTTCTATTGAAAGCCTGAAAGTTTTGTACAGATGAGAGGCCAAAACAGTGTTCCAAAAATGTATTCCAAAAACTCCCATATAATGTTTCCTAGTAGTTGAATAAAGAAAAAAATAACAAAAAGGTGATTAGGAAAAATGTGCAATTAAAGTTATCAAATTGTCTATTATCTACTGTCCCTCCTTCCACAGTAAACTGTTATTATTATTTTAATTACAGTCTCTCTTAAGAAGCTGCATCTTTGCATCTTATTTTGGTATCATATTTCTCTTGTCCCCTTTCATCTTTTTTTTCTTCTTCCCCCCCCCCCCCCCCCGCTTTTTTTCTTTTTCCTTTCCTTAGCATCTTGTAGTGCCTTTTCCATGAGATTGAAAAGCAACTGTATTATGGAATAACTCTTCCTTAACTTTTAATGCTTGGGAATCGAAAGATCATCTTAATCTTTTCCTTGATAAGGCATGAGCATTTTTTAACTAAAGCCTTGTATCATAAAGGCCTGTGCATTTTTGTGTTATCTTCCAGCAAATTCTTGCCAGTATTTTTAATATGATGAGACTTCTGTTGTCATCTGGGACTTAGTGTGTTTAGTCATCTGTACTGTTCAGGGAATGCTTGGGAGAAATGAGCATTCCTCATGTAGCAGTATGTAACTTAATAACAAGAGAAAGATGAGACCGTGAAGTTTTAGGAAGACATGTTATTGACAGAGGTTTACAAGAAGAGAAATCTCTTCAGTGTTATTGATCACTTGTATTGTATTGGTCTTCTGGGTAGAAGATGAGGAAGCTCAAAACCTGAAATACTCTGAATGTGCAAGTGCATCTGCTCTTCGATACTGCAGCGCTGTGCCTTCCCGTGTTCCTCGTCAGTCCTGCACTGAGTGTCTAGGTTTAGAGATGCCAGGCTGTTCCTTCTGTACTGTCGGAGGCCCTTGTTTCACAGTAACTACTTTTGGGTGTCACTGTGGTTGCTTTCTACCTACTTGGATCATTCAGCTTTATGTCTCATCATTTTTAATTATCATACCTTCATTCCCAAACACTTGGAAACTTTCATTCTGAAATACATCTTAGTGCTGAGTTCTGAGTCTGGAATTTGAACGAACCTTCCCATTCTGTATTCCTATTTTTCCTGTGTGTTTTAGTCATTTACATTGTTTATTGGTGTGTGTTTGTCTCATGTTCTGAGTATTGAAGAGGCTGGATTCACTAATATAATGTGCCAATAAAATTGTTAATGACTTTGAACAACTTCTTTTAAAATATTCCTTACCAAACTGAACAGAAGATCAGTAGCTATGATTTCCACAGCCAGAAAGAAATCAGCATTATAGAAAGAGCTAAGAAGGAAGGCTAACTTTTACAATATCTTTCTTCTGTACTTAATATGTTTGAGAATTTCTTTAATATTTGGTGACTTAGAATGGATTAACACTGATTTTCTTCTCTTTTTAGATCCTTGCTGTACATTTATTGAAAGCAGTACTTCCATCCTGGGATAAAAATGAAAGGTCGAGAGACATGAAATTTCTTGTGGAAAAACTGTTTGGATTTTTAGGCAGCCTGCTTAGTACTTGTTCTTCAGATATCCCACTACTCAGAGGTAGCGGAATTTTCCTTCAGTGGCTTATTTTTATGTATAGAAAATGTATGTGTTAAATTCATAAATGTTGTGCAATTGCTTTGTCTTTCCAGAATCTACTCTGAGAAGGAGAAAGGCCAGGCCCCAAGCATCTCTAACTGCCACTCACAGTAGTACTTTAGCAGAAGAGATAGTGGCACTGCTGAGGACGCTCCATTCGCTCAGCCAGTGGAATGGACTCATAAACAAGTACATCAACTCTCAGCTAACCTCCATCACCCACATCTTTGCAGGAAAACAGTCAGAAGGGGTAGTTTCCACGTTTTAAAATAAGCTCATTTTTATAGCAATATTTATTTTGAAATGATAAATATTTAATGTTTGTAAACAATATAAAGCTTAATTTTGAAACCATTTTTCTATTTTTATATATATGTATTTATGTGTTGTAATTTTAAAATCTGAGTATATGTGATTAACTTTGTATTTTAAAGCAGATAGAAGTATGTTTTTTCTCCCTACAGTTAATTTTATTGTTCTTTGTTAGGCTGTGTTGGATGACTACTTTCCTGACACTGAGAATCCGGAGGTGGGAGGCCTAATGGCAGTGTTAGCGGTGATCGGTGGCATAGACAGTCGCTTGAGACTGGGTGGACAAGTAGTTCATGATGAATTTGGAGAAGGCACAGTGACACGCATCACCCCAAAAGGGAAAATCACTGTACAGTTCTATGACATGCGAACATGTAGAGTGTGCCCTCTGAATCAACTAAAACCAGTAAGTTCATTTTATTGAGGTTTTAGTGCAGGAAAGGGTATAGTTAAAGACTGATATGGTGCAAAGAAAATATTTTTTCTTCATTGGGCAAATACATTGACATTCAACACATACAATGCTCTGAATGTAAATCTAAGATGATACTCATGTGAACCTCTGTAGGGGCTTTAAAGCCTGTCATTTGTTGAGGAAGGGAAAGGAGTAGGGATTTTAGTTGAAGTAGTTGACTTGAGGTAAAATCCCAAGTCATGACAATGCCATTTATAGCTCCTGCATGAGAGGAGCTTATTTGTATTTAACTTGATTTGCTAACTGATGTAGAAAGTCTTGGATGTTTTCATTTGACTCTATCTCAAGTTGCTTAATATGGCTGTAATGAAATGACAGAGCGCCTGGTCTGCTTCAGGGACTGCAGTTCTTCCTTGCTGTGACTCTGTCTTGCTTTTTCACCAAGTAGACCTGCAGTTGTGTGGTACAAGTACAGGCTTGGGAGCTATGTAGGGAATAGAAATCCTTTCCAGTTCCTGGTCAAGAGCAAAGAGACGAATGTTGCTACTTCTTTTCTTCAGCTAATAACCATTGAAACTTTTGAATGATTTTGTTAAATTTTGGAAAACGCTTACCTTTTTTGTTTGGGTGTTTTTTTTTTTTTTTTTTTGTCTGGTTCTTCCCTCACTGTCTAGCTTCCAGTTGTGGCTTTTAATGTGAACAACTTGCCTTTTACTGAACCTATGCTATCCATTTGGGCTCAACTAGTTAATCTGGCTGGAAGTAAAATAGAAAAACAAAGAATGAAGTCTCCCAATCAGGGTCTTTCAGGTACAGTTGGTTTTGGTTTTTTGTTTTGTTTTTAAATAGTTGGGTGTACTCTGGGAAAAATACTGGTAACAAACATATGTAAGAAAAACTGTTTTCTGGAACCTTGCCTTTTTTATTAGTCAACGTTGAATAATATGCATTTATGAGGCAAGTTCAGCTAGGAGATGCATTGCTCTGCACTGTAAGTGAAATACTGCTTTTACTTTGGTGAGAAAATTCAAATAAGGTTTGGGTCTGGACTTCTTGTATTGAATTGTTTAAAATATTGGATCCATATAACATCTTAACTGCACTTACTGTGTTTATATATCAGCTGTATGATTGTCCAGGGTGTGAAAAGTAGGAAGGTGATGTTTTTAATATAATGGGTCATAGAACGTGTGCAGACTTTTTATCCGGGTGGTGTTCAAACTACCTCATATCATCAGTATTTCACAAGCTTTCACACAGCGAGCTAAGATATAAACTGATTTTTGGGCTGAGTTTGTATGAGTGATAGTTCTTCTCTGATACAAGAGATTCCTAGTGCTAACGGCTGCTTAATATTTCTGATAGGTCAAGTGGATTTGGATCTACTGCGATGCCAGCAATTAAAGCTGTACATACTGAAAGCAGGCAGAGCTCTGCTTTCTCACCAGGATACACTAAGGCAGATCTTATCTCAGCCAGCTGTTCAGGAGTGTGCATTAAATCCTGCAGGTATTCTGAAATGCAACCTGAGTGTGTGCTGCTGTTTGTTTAGATGATGGATAGAGTATGTGAAGGTAACCCTTGCTAATGGCAGTTGGAGGGTAGAAATTAGGTTTGCCCTCTAAAGACTAAAAATTAAAATTTGAGCATGTTTTAACCTTAGATATTAAAAGCATTTTCACTTTTTAACTTAGATTTTGAAGATTAGGTGCATCAAGTGTTTGAATTTTGAAATATTTGAGTTAGCTAAATTTGTAAGCCTTCTGTAGTTATAAGCTTTGTAAGTATTTCTAAAAAACTTGTGGTTTTGTTGCAGTAGATTCTGTTTCTGCTTCAGAGCTTAAAGTCTGAGTTCTCATTTGGCTATTCCTTTTACTTCAAACATTTTGAAGTTTCCAATGAAATAAGTACCAGTATACAGTGTCTTAAGCATAATTTGAAAACGATAATTTGAATTAATTCTCTGTGTAATTCATTTTACATACAAAAATAAAATAGCTCGGTCACCTTTCAGGATAGCTATTGATCCTCTAACAGTTTATATGTATTCTTTGGGCATTTTTGAAGCATGTAATGTCTTTATATATTAATATATTTGATTTATTTGTATATTTCTGGCGGTTTTTGTCAGTTACCAAATTTTAAGTCAACAGAATATTTTTTTTTTTTCCCGGGAGTGGAACATGGCTTTACTTCTACCATCAGTTTGGTTTTACTTCTACCATCATTTTTCAAGGGGCAGGGGGGGAAATACCCACACAGTTTTTAATTTTTTTTTTCTTTTTTTAAACAACTGGAACAGCATGCATACACAAGAGCTATTAACTGTTTTCTAATTATTTCAAATATGAGAACTTCCTTTTGTTGGAGTTAAATGAAGAGTGAGAACACTTTCCTGAGACAGCCACAGTAAAGATCTAGGAAACATGAATGTTTATGCCAACAGAAATGCAAAATCAAATATAAAAGCTGTAGAGTTGTGAGCCAGTTGATTCAAAAAAGGTGTACTCTGTTGAAGAGGCAATGAATATCTATAGGGAGCTCTTCCCAAGAAGTGTATTAGAGGGGGAAATGACTCAATCCAGAAAGTATGCACTATGGTTTTGGGGATCAATGAAGTTGTTGGTTTTCTATATAAAGTGGTTTATGCTGGAAGGACCTCTTTATAGTAATTTTATTGTAAAAAGGTGAACTCAGAAGATACTTGTGCAAATTCACAGTCCACTGAACAGTTTCTGTTAGACATATTTTAGGAAAAGTATTGTTTATCTACAAATTTCTTATTTGCTTTTTTGTATGGAGATTGTGGCACACACAATTCAATCTTAAACACATGATTCCTGTGGAGAAGTGTAGGAGAAACAGCAATATGTTTGATAAATGAATAGGCCCCAGAATAAGTCTCCTGATTGACTTATATTACATGTTTTTGGTTAAACTAATGTTTTTGTTTCAAGAGGATGGAGCAGTTGCCTCTCCCGACATAGGAGATATGTCTCCTGAAGGACCTCAGCCTCCCATGATTCTTTTACAGCAACTTTTGACAGCTGCTACGCAACCATCACCTGTGAAAGCCATATTTGACAAACAAGAGCTTGAGGTAAAGTGTGTGCTTTCTGCTAAGTAACCTAATAAATAAGTGTTTCTAATTCACATTCCAGTTGAAACTTGTTAAGCTATAGGCTTTTAAAAAAAAGTAACACTGAGTCCTTTTTGGCGAATAACCTCTAATTTCAGGCATAAACACAAAAACATACTAAATATGATTGTTTTACTTGGACTGATTTGTTTGTTCTCATTTAGGCTGCTGCTTTGGCAGTATGCCAGTATCTGGCTGTAGAGTCTACACATCCTTCAACTCCAGTGTTTGAAGACTGCAGCTCTAGTGAAGCTACGACACCCATCACAGTGCAACATATCCGACCCACAAAAGTGAAGAAACGCAAGCAATCTCCAATTCCACCCCTCCCCATTGTAGTTCAGCTTATGGAAATGGGATTTCCTAGGAAAAACATAGAATTTGCACTAAAATCTCTGTCTGGAACCTCTGGAAGTGCTTCTGGATTACCAGGTATTTAATTTAGTTAAATTAATGATGTTAGAAGGAGAAGGAAAGTTGTGAGCAGGTTAAAATGCTACTTACAAGGGAGCAATTGTTACTTCTCTTTTTTTGATACTATTTTAAGAATGTCAGAGTCCCTTAGAGACAGATTGAGTTTGTTTTCTGTGTTAGGAGTGGAAGCCTTGGTTGGCTGGTTGTTGGATCACCCTGATGTTCAAATTACGGATCTCTCTGATGCTGATACTATCTCCGATGAATATTCAGATGAGGAAATAGCCGAGGAAGTGGAAGAAGCTGAAGCTGCCTGCCCTGTGGTAAGTATCAACTTACTAAAACCCAAGTCAGGCTGGCTGTAAATTTTGTAATTCTTTCCTTTTATTAACTTGGTTAGAGTACAAGGGCATTCTTCTGTCCCAAGCTTTCAGGACTATAATGAAGACCACGTTTGCCATATGTTTCTAAGGCTTGTCGTAAAAGAACTCGAGAATAATCTGTAAATATTTATGTATTGGTAGCACAGGGAAAAGTGGAATGCAGGTAGATGTTTCACTAGAGGTAGCTGTAAGTATCCCTGATAGTTGGTCAGAGTTTTATCTAAAATAGTCAATTCTATAGTGTAGTATTTGTAAAGGACTCCTTTTTGTTTGTTTTTGTTTTGGTGCGGGTTTTTATTCCCTGCTCCTCCCTTACTTTGGTCTGAGAACCAAAGGTATGTTAGCTACAAGGAATGACTGAGGAATTAATGAATAATTAGCAAAAAAATGTCAGTGAAATATTTCCTTATCAAAACTATTTTCACTCACTAGTTATAAAATAACCTTTACAATGCCTGTTGAGTGTGATGGCTTTAATGTGAATTTATATTAGTCTTCTATTGGCTTTCAGGATCTGTTTCAGTAAGGATTTGACAGTAAAATGATATGGGTTCTATATTCCTATTTATGTTTTAAGGAGTTATGTTGAGTTTTCTGGCACATGTGGGATTTTGTCATTGAAAGAAATGCATTATATTTTGAAGGAAATCAACTGGACATTGAGTTCTTATATCTTTATCAGTATTGCAATGAGAAACTGTGCTATATGTTGCCTTGAATGAAAAAAAAACCCAGGCATTTAATGCTCAAAACAGAACAAAATTTTCTGAAAATTCTCATTATAGCTGGAATGCAATAGTTCTCTTAAAATTTAACTTAATAAAATCTTGAAAGGAATAGTTTCTGATAACTACAGTCTTATCTTTTTCGCCAGCTTGTTTTTCTAAGAGAATACTATAAATCCCATTGTATTATATAACCAAAAAGTTAGTAGTGTACTTCAGGTAGGAGATTGCCATTCACCACTGTTTGGTGTTTTTTTTTTTTTTTCCCCATCTCCAAACAAGTAGCCTAAGAAGTGGAATGTATATCTGCAAGGCTAATTCTCTTTGTTCTAATTTTCTTTGGCAAGCAGATTTCATAAAAGCAACTTGCACCTTGTTTCACACATTTTGAAAATTTGCAGCTACATTCCTTGGCAAGTAATTTTGGAAACTAAACTTTAAAGTAGATCATAAATGTTAGCCCTATAGTGAGTTGACCTGTTGAAGATTTTTCACATTTTGGTGTGCAACTTGGATATTATGTGCGTTTTGGTTTTGTTGGGTTATTTCAGTTTCTGCTAACAATTACCTTTGTCTGAATTGAAAACAAATTTTGTAACTTTTTTTTTATTATTTTTTTACAGTCAGGTGCTGCTGTTGTAACAGAGAGCCAAACCTATAAGAAGCGAGCTGATTTCTTAAGTAATGATGACTATGCTGTGTATGTGAGGGAGAATATTCAGGTAAACATGATGATCAAAAGCTATATTGAAACTACTTTCCTTCCGGTACAAAAATCTTTGCATAGATGTGGTATTCTGTTGTCCCTTTTACCTAGGTGGGGATGATGGTTAGATGCTGCAGAACCTATGAGGAGGTTTGTGAAGGAGACGTAGGCAAAGTTATTAAGTTGGATCGAGATGGATTGCATGACCTGAACGTACAGTGTGATTGGCAACAAAAGGGTGGCACTTACTGGGTCAGATATATCCATGTTGAGCTTTTAGGTAAGTTGACTACTAACTGCTTTTTAGAAAAAAATGAATTACACACTAAGGGAGATCTGGTTTTGGAGGGAAGAAACCCACTCACCATGCATTTATTCTTGCAACTTCTAGGATTCCCACCACAGAGTTCTGCCTCTCACATCAAGATAGGTGACAAAGTGCGTGTGAAAAGCTCTGTTACCACACCCAAATACAAATGGGGATCAGTTACTCACCGAAGCGTGGGAGTCGTCAAAGGTAATGTAAATTCAAAATGGGGAGGTCATAAAACTGGAAACCACGCAGACTTTCTGCAGTGTTTAAGGAGAGAATCTTCTAGACACGCTTAGAAATCACACTGTTTTGTGGAATATTGCATGGTGATAAGAGAGTGCAGAATGCATTTGATGTCTGTGACTCATTTATAGACAGGTACTCTGTGGCAGCCTGTTTTGTTAGTGTGTTCATCTGCTTTTTGAGCCACTCCATTCACATACAGTAAACATCTTTAAGAATCTGTGCGGCTTCATGTTGTAGTTCTCATTTATACTTTGGATGAACCACAAATGATTTTCCTTTAAATCTAACTTGAAGACTTCATTAGACATTGGAACAGGCTGCCCAGGGAGGTGGTGGAGTCACCATCCCTGGAGGTGTTCAGAAGACATATAGATGTGGTGCTTAGGGACATGGTTTAGTGGTGGGCTTGGTAATGTTAGGATAACGGTTAGACCTGATGATCTTAAAGGTCTTTTCCAGCCAAAATGATTTTATGATTCTATGAAGTGAGGAGAAAGTGGGGTGCAGTAGTGTCAAGCTGTAAGGGATGTTACAGAAGTGATCTGTGGGACGTAGATTCTTTGAAGAGGTACAGATTTTGGACATACTATATTTGTGTTTAGAAGTACTCTCTTCCTTTGGGAACTTTTTAAAAAATAAATGAAAAAAAAAATAGAGTCAAGGAAATTGAATAGAATAAAATATATCTTTTAAAATTCTTTAGAACTCCCTTTCCCTCTGCCGCTTTCCAGACTGTCTTCTAAGGTTAATACATAGTTCTATTAAAATAAAAGATTACTTTTGAAAGTAACTTTTATTACGTGTTTCTACTCTGATGCACTGTACACTTGCTGCTTCATTTTATAGAGGTTTGCAACGTGTTGTATTTTCTGCATATTTTTTGTCACAGCTTTTAGTGCCAATGGAAAAGATGTCATTGTAGACTTTCCTCAGCAGTCTCATTGGACTGGATTGTTGTCAGAAATGGAACTGGTCCCCAGCATTCATCCTGGAGTCACGTAAGTAGTGACGTACATTTTTATTAATGCATATGAGTTATACGTCAGCCTTGCGGTCTTGATTCCATTATCTTGACTCATGTTACAATTTACTTGTACCATGAAAACTGCTAGAAGTACATTTATTTGTTCTTTTGTGAAATCAGGTGTGATGGCTGTCAGATGTTTCCTATCAATGGGCCTAGATTCAAATGCAGAAACTGTGATGATTTTGACTTTTGTGAAACCTGTTTTAAAACTAGGAAGCATAACACCCGACATACTTTTGGCAGAATAAATGAACCAGGTAGGTTTTGGAACCTAAAGTGTTTCTTAGATTAATTAAAAATGCATTGAATTTGTTTTTAAAATGATTTTTGCTGAGTGTTGTTTGCATATTTTTCATCTGCTGTGGTGGTGTACAAAATCTTATGTCCTGTGGGCTTGTCATTTGAAGTATGTATCATCATAAATTTTGATTTGTATTTCAAAAGGAAGGACCCTTTCAAGTGGCTCTTTAGTGAAGAATGTTAGTCTTTTAATGATTCTGTCAGTTTAAAGACTGTATGCCCCTGTAATGTTTTATAATTCAATTTTAGAAATTACACTTAGTGTCTTATATTCCTGAAGAGAGTAATTTTTCTTAAATTTTTAAATATTTATTTTTTACTAAATTATGCTTGGTTTCTTAGAACAAATCAGTCGTAAGTGTAGGAACAGAAAGTGTGACCATCCTAAATGACAGGCATGGAAACTTGTAGTCAGGTAAAGTGCTTGAAACTCCTTAAAAGAAATAATCTTAAAATAAAAATAAAGCTAAATTATAAAATAAAATAGAGCTGTATCCTTTAAGTGCGAGTGGTATTACCATACCTATGTGACATGCTTCTGTGTTCTACTGCTAGACTTCATATCTGAAATCTTTGATTTGTTATATTTCCTTTCACATTGCTTGTTTTAAAAAAAGCAATTTTCTTTGGGAGGTACGTGCTTAACGTTTCACTTAACTGTGCAGGCCAGTCTCCGGTGTTTTGTGGGCGTTCTGGAAAGCAGCTGAAGAGACGGCATAGTAGCCAGCGGGGAATGTTACTGGATGACTGGTCAAGAATAGTTAAAAATTTGAATGTCTCGTCCTCTGTGAATCAGGCTTCACGTCTTATTGATGGTAGTGAGCAGTGCTGGCAGTCTTCTGGCTCACAAGGAAAGGTAACTTTAAGCCACAACTGATTTATTCTGGCATACTTTTTTCTTAAGAGGATAAATATTTACCTTGTTGAAATACTTGTTTGTTACCTCCGTGTAAGATAGAAGAGTAGTAAAAAAGACATCGGCAGTACAAAACTATGTTTCTGCATAGTAAATGTGCCTATTTTTTTAAATCTGCTTTTCATCTTTCTGATTCTGTCATGTGAATTGTAACGAACTTGTGTGGGGTTTTTTGGTTTTGTTTTGGTTTGGTTTTTTTGTTACAGAGTAGTTGTTCTATTCTGTAGTTGCTTATATGGTTACAGTTGCCTTTTCAGTGTAATAACTGATGGCAATTATTCTTAACAATCACATTGATTATATTTTACTTCAGCGAGTTTGTTGCAATGCAAAAAGCAAGTATGCTGTCACTAGCTAAAACTGCCTCCAAGCACTCTCTCACTTGCATAGAATATCTCAAGTTGGAAGGAAAGGACCCATAAGGATCACAGAGTTCAACTCCCTGCTCCTCACAGGGCTACCTAAAACTAAACGATATGAATAAGCACATCTTCTAGCTCTGACAGGCTTGGTGCCATGACCACTTTCTTGGGGAGCCTGTTCCAGTGACTGTTCACCTTCTCAGTGAAGAACCTTTTCTTAATGTCCAATCTGAACTTTCCTTGATGCAGCTTCATTCTATTTTCTCCTGTCCTATCACTGGTCACCAGAAAGAGGAGATCAGCACCTCCCCCTTCACTGCCCACTTTGAGGAAGTTATAGGCGGTGATGAGTTCTTCCCTCAGCCTTCTCTTCCTCAAGATGAACAGGCCAAGTGACCTCATAAGTCTAGCCCTTGAGACCTTTCACCATCTTGGCCACCCTCCTCTGGACACACTCTAATAGTTTGATGTCCTTCTTCTCTTGAGGCACCCAAAACCGCTCGCAGTACTTGAGGTGGGGCCACACCAGTGCAGTGTTGGGTGGGACAATTGCCTCACTTGACCAGCTGGCTATACTGTGTTTGATGCACCCCAGGACATGGCTGTGCCTCTTGGCTGCAAGGGTACACTCTTGACTCATATTCAACTTCTATCGACCCAAACCCCAAGATCTCTTTCCATGGGATTGCTCTCCAGACTCTTGTCCCTCGATTTGTACATACAAGCAGGATTACACCGTCCCAGGTGCAGAATCTGGCACTTGCTCTTAAATTTCCCACGTTGGTGGTTGCCTAGCTCTCTAGTCTATCCAGATCTCTCTGTAAGGCCTCTCCCTTGAGGGAGTCCATAGTTCTTCCTAGTTTAGTGTCATTAGCAAACTTGCTTAATGTAGATTTGACTCCTGGTCCAGCTTATAAAAAGCATTGTTCCTTAGTTTATGGTTTACCAGTTTTATTGGCCTGCAGCACCGCTTTGGGGCCAGCCTGGGCACTGGGATTTGCAGCTAGGCTTCCATCCAGTTTTGATGCTCTGTTGAGGGCCATGCTGAGAATATCCCTAATTACCCTTTCTTTGGCTTGTCTACAGACTGTAGCCAAAGGTTTACATTTTATCTCATTTCTTGACCTCCAGTGATATTGTGCTTTCTCAGTCTTCTCAATGGTGTTGCTGTTGTGTGAAATAAATCATGTGCTGCCACTGTTTCCCTTGTGTTTGGAGGCTGGACAGGTGAGAAGTTCACAAGGTCATTTTTCTTTGGCCAGTTCCCATGCATCGCAGCTGTTGTGTACCGTTCACAAACGTTTTTCATGCTTTCTTCAAAA